TAATTTTAAAAATTGCTTACAGAAAGCATCGCTTCAGTTCGAGGACCTCTATGAGACTTAAAGGCAAAACGTCCACATCTGAATTGGCGCTCGGTAGCATCAGTTCATCATTCCCAGCCCAGAAATATAAAATTGTCTCAGGTACCTATACGAGTATAGATTTATAATGGGGGGGGAAACAGATTTTCGAGTTGGCTTTTGATTGACACGCTGTCCCCAGGATCATGTTTTAATCCCTGCTTCACTCCAGTCTTTTCATAACTCATTTCTCTTCCTGAGATGGAGGGGAGGGGGGGTAAACTCAGATGGTTGCCACGGAAACGGCGATAGCGCTAAGCCATTTCCATGTCTACTAGGGGCCGTTATCCCGCGCCTGCTTGCAGCAGAGGTCGTCACAAAGTCATCCATTTATGATTTTACCACCTTTTTTCTCCCCATCCCATTGACGAGGTCGTGCGCGGGGGAACAACATCAGCATCTCCGGGTGACAAAACGAGCTGCCCTTTCTGATCAAAGGCGGCGTCGGCCCGAGCGCGGGGGGCGCATTTACATCCATGTTTTCGCTCTTTTCAGCAAAGCAAAGCACGTCGCTTCTTTCACTCTAAATATTGAGCAGAGGCGACACACAGGGGGTATTCAAATTCTTTCGCCTCCCTTCATTTTGACATATAAAATAATATTATACTCACTGGGGCATAACGGCATTCCCTCCCCGCGGAACACAATCGAACTGGATGGATGTAACCCAAACGAGTACGGGGGTGTCACGCGACGAGGGACGGCTTATGCAGCTACACAAGAAAGCGTTTGCTTGTGGTGTATCGTTGCAGCAGCTAATTACATTTATTTATTTATTTACTTATATAACCATGATAAGTTCCAGAGGCCCTGTTCAGCCTGAGTAACCGTTTGAAAGGACACGCCACAGTTCATGCACCCCCCGCACTTTTTCTATGGGCCACAAATATTTCAAGATGCCCGGGACGTCATTCGGCGCTTTATGAATCGGTTGCTGGTTAACGTGAACGGATAGACGTGGAAAGACAGACAAGACTGAGTAGATGGGCTGAAGCAGAGGAAATAAGCAATGATGACACTGAACACACTAACCTATTTCCTAAGGTCCTGTAACACATAAAGCCTTGATCATCTACACCTCACAAAGTTTCTCTAAATGCATAACAGGCGGATTACTAACCCAATTCTCCTTGGAGATCGATTTTTTTTATCCCGCCATTCCTTGCGAATATGTCGTCATGGGTCAACAGTGACCAATTACTTCCAAAACCTTCTAACACCAGGCGTAATTTTCTAAGAATATCTAAAAGAGTGATAATCACGGCCACATTCATAACTACCCGTTGTTCCAGGAGGGAGAAATCTATCAATGAAATTAGACTCCCGAATCAAATAACCTGTTTAATGACTTTATTTACATCTACATTTCACTAACATTTAGTCATCTCTAGGAATGCATTTGTTCGTTGTTAAATTATAACACATTTTTCGGAATAGCACTTTGATAACTACAGCTATTAGTATAATGCGTGTATCGATAGTTTAAATAACACCGTTTCAAGGCACAACATCGCCCCAGATGTGAGAAAGGAAGTGGTGTATAGTGTTCAAGTGAAATTACATATATAAAAACATTTGATCATATAATATTTAATATGTATTTTTACATGGGCCTAAATAGAAATGTCGAGGAATAGGTGCGTTATCCTCATTTCGCCTTGGTTAAATTTATTGCTGTTAATGGGATTTTGTATAACTGCATAATTAAAGGCTGCATGATTCAGGGTCATTTCATCAAACTCCGCTAGTTCAGTCAGTGTCCGTTTTTAAAACCACGGTTTTCCTGGATAGAATGAATACGTGTCACAGTACAGTAAAATAGATTTTGCCTGGTCTGTTTTACACGGTGTCCAAATACGCTATGGCTTGTTTTCGCGGATTGCTGCAAATTACAGGCGTTTCAAGTCATTTAGTCATTATAATACAAACGGAAATATCTATTTAAAAAAATATATATTTTCAATTCCTTCCGCCAGGCTATTCGTGTATTCACTCAATTTCTGCATAATTACCATGTTGAAATAGTTAACTAGAGTGCTAATCGGGAATTTGTCATTTCCCTCAAAATGATTATACATTAGAACTTAAGAAAATGTTTGAGAATCAATGTAGGGGAAAAAAACAAGAAAATGCGGAAGAGTAAGTAATACAGTATCTCCGTCTCGGGCTATATGCGGCTGAAATCTCTTTGGATCCAGGCCGACTGCTCAGTCGTCTAGGGATGCGAACTTTCTACACATTTTTTATACTGAATCGATCATGTTAGAACGAAAGCTTGGTATTGTTCAAAAAGTGACAGTATCCAGCAGGGGGCGACTCATTTTACACGTTTCAGAAGGAAACAAAAAGAACATTTTTAAAGGCTTCAAAGTTTAAACAATGGACGGGCAGGTGTTTTCCCCCCCACACTCGACACATTCACAGATCATAAACACTCACGACAGACCGTAATATTGTCTGACTGAATATGAGAAGGTTATCTTCAATGTCAGGCAATCATATGAAGGTTAGGGCACCTGTTGGTGGTTCTTTAATATATCTGAAGATGCTAAAAATTGCCCTCATGCCCCTTTTCCACTGTGAAAACGACATTCTGAGCTCTCTGTAAACAAGTTTGTGACCGGGGAGCGATTTGTCCACTCATTAAAATACCTTTTTAAAGAAAATGGTTACACATCGCATTTTTGAGACTCAATATTCAAACTAAAAAAAAAAAACAAAAACCCATGTTGGTAATCTCAAGTCACCCTTGGCACAATATATGTAGACGATCTCTGGTTGATCTCCACTGTCTTTTACATTAGTGCAGACTGACAGGCATAGCCAGAATTAACTAATCACGACTGCCTTTTCTTGGCTCAGCGGATATACCAAGACGTCTGTTGGTTCGAGAATAAAGACACTCTCAGCAGTGGATGCCGTGAAGGTTTAACATTTCAGAACAGACCCCCAGGCGAAGCGTTTAGCGAGATACCGGCGTCGGGGGGCGGGGACAATGGACAAATGCATTTTATGGTCAAAATAAATACAAATACATATTACAGATAAAACAATAAAGCTGAGACTCAGAATACAGGGTAATATCGGCTTCAGCGCAAAACGTGATGAAAAGATTACACTGCATTCCGTGTTATTATTACTTTGATTCATTTACGTGTTTGTGTTCTGACCATCACAGAGGTTATTATTAAAACCCATTTATTTATAATACGAGCATTTCAAATTAAAATGGTGTTGTTAGTAACCATATTAAAGACAACTTCTTTGTCCTTTAACACAAAGGATGACGGTTAAAAGCGGTCAGTGTTGATATATGTAAGCTTTTGTTGTCTCACTGAACTGTTGTCATGTAGGAGAAAGACAGAAAACTCGGCTGTCACAGAAAAACTTACAGGGCTAAGTATTCAATACATTAGAAAAGGGATCAATGGAGAAACAGTGAATAATAACAACAACAACAATAATAATAATAATTCCACACTTACTGATAATTAGCACTATTTATGTCATTGTAAAATGCAGTTTGCAGTTTTCTGC